TTAAGCATGGAATTTGTTAAATTACCTTCGCCCGTGACCGCCCCTCGTGTTGTTCTCCAGGATGTGAAGTCAGTTCTGTGAGCTCAACGACATTTCCACTGCCATTGACCGTATGAGGGCGTCCTTTGATGTACATCAGATTTTCGCTGTCCCATAATTCATATTTCTTAGTTTTGTTCTTCAGTTTGCACATATATACCTGCAAAAATATATTTTTTTATGTTTAAAACCTAATGCAGAACATTCTACTAGTCTTACAGATTTAGATTTTTGTTCTTGATTTTAAATTAAAGAGTCATTATTGTATCTCATGTGAACACCAGATCAGAAGTAACAAGGGTGACATCGTTTGAAAGCATTGTACGTTTCCCACCTTATAATAGATTGTGTGCAGACGAACAAAATCTGTTGTTAGAGAAAAGTCGACTAAGTCCAAAGTACTGAGACAAACGTTAAGCTGTTTGCTAGCCTGGTGCGAGTTCCAGTAGCCAATAAGCGTACTGGTTAGAATTCAAAACTAACTATCCAATAAGARCTAAGTACATATATCCTGGTACATGGAGCCCGATCTTCGTCGATTATTTGCAGACGAACTTAACAACAGTTTTGGTGCGGCTGCATGCAGGCTAACTGTTGAATAAATAAATAAAAAATAAAGCACTTACCGCTAATACAATAATAACAATAATAAGTATAAACACCAGGACACAACCAACTATCAAAACAATCTCCCAGTCTTTCAGCCCATCATCTTCCATCTCAGTTGTCGGTTTTACTGTCTGCTCTTGAACTCGAATCTTCAATACGTGAAAACCCAGCGTTCCTGAAGAGTTGGCCTTCATTATAGACTTTTCTATTGCATCGGTTGTAACATTCGAACCAGATCTGGATATAACTTTGAAGTTAACTCCCGTACTGCCTTGAAAAAATCGGTTCACTTCAACTGACAGGAAACCTTCCATGTTCGAAAACACCCCATTTAACTGGTCCTCAGTTTTACGCTTTAGGTTTTGGTATTCGGTGGTATATGAAAAGGCATAGTTTGGATTCCACTGTTGATCGGTTACAATTGTCCCTTCAAAGGTATCTACTGATGTTACTACGGGAGTTGTAGGTACTATAGTAGTTGAAGACGATAGTTGTTGGGTAGTAGACATCGATGGTACTATTGTCAGCCGAGTAGATTGAGTCGACGTTGTTACTTGTAGATGTTGCGTTGTTATAATCGCCTCTGTTGACACTGTTGATGTTGATTGTATCTGGATTATCGTCGAATGTGGATGCGTTGAATATGTTGGCGTTTGTTCAGGCAGCGATGATGATGTTGATATTTGCGGTTGCGTTGATAATGATTGTGTGGGGCTTGATGAAGACTGGGC